ATTTGATTAGATATACTTTTAAAAGATAAAATTTCAATAAAATATACATAATATTTTATTTAGGAGAGAGATAAAAAATATAAAAAAATTATATTCTTTTTTTTATGATTGTAAGGAAAATTGAAAATTTATTTGAAGAGGATATAGTGTTTCTTTTATGTAATTTTTTTTATTAATTAACATATGGATAATTAAATATTACCTTTTTAAATTTATTTTTTAATAAATATATTTATTTTTTAATAATTATTATATAATAAATATATATGATAATGACATTTGAAAATTCTTATATTTATTTTTTAAATATTTAATTTAATTTTTATTATAATTTAAAATATTTTATGTAAGAGAGAGATAAAAAAAGAAAAAAGTATGTTATTTTTTCTTTATATTTATATGATTTAATTGTATATATTTTTTTAAGAAATAAATTTTCAAATAGAATATACATAATATTTTATTTAGAATAGAGATAAAATATTTTTTTTTATATGGTCGTATGAAAAATTAAGAGCCCGTTTGGAATAAATGAATTCCAAGAAATTTTGTGGAATTCATTTGGAAATTCAAAATGTTATGTTTGGAATATGAAAAAATATAGATTTGAATTCTATGAGTTGAATTCTATAGAATTTGATATGCCTAACTGACGCGGAACCCTTTGGAAATTAATTCCAAAAACTCTATGACAAGATTGGAATAGTTCAAAGATCAAACTAAACTCCCCTCTATGGCACCCAAAGCTTAAGGAAGCAAGAACACTAATAATAGAGTAAAATAACAACTAATAATAGAGTAAAAGGAATAGATAAACGTCAAAGTAAATTGATAAGTTTTACCTTTTTGATTCTTGATGTATTAAGAGAAAAAGCATCTTCACAATCACTCTAAGTCAAAGACACGCCAAAGCATGAAACAAAGGCTGGTAAGGTTTATTAATTCATTTGAATTCATTTTTTTTAACAACATAACAAGCTATTTATTACTAAAAATCTAAAAACTTTGATCCTTAAAGGGATTTAGCAATAACTATCCAATTAAGGATAAGGATTAAACTAATCTAAAACTAACTAAGGATAAGGGACTAATTAATCCAATCAACTAAGGATAAGGAATAAATTAATCCAAAACAAACTAAGGATAAGGAATTAATTAATCAAACCAACTAATGTTAAGGAATAATTAATTCCAAATCAACTAAGGATAAGGAATAAATAATCCAAACAAAACTAATGATAATGATAAGGAATAATTAATCCAAACCAACTAAGGATAAAAATAAAAGGGTGGCCCAATTTATTGGTGGCCCAACCCATTAACAACATTACAACTCAAACCTAACACAAATGGGCTAACTTATTACGCCAAAGTTAGGCTCTAGTACGACCAGGGCATGCTACACTATCAACATATGCCTCCAATAATGTAAGAAGCCTAGGTGTGCCTTCAAGTTCCACACAACATTTGTTTAAAGCAAGATCATGAAGCTCTTGTGTAACATGGTCTTTAACATATAAGGACATGGTTACCCTATATCTCTTTGTATGACTTCTTGTAATTGGTCCACTAAGAAGTACTAATGGATTTCCCATGTTGTGCTCCTTGTTCCCTTGAGCTCCATGGATGACTGATGGTGGATCCGCATCACTAACTCAAAATTTAGTAAAATTGATAGAATTTGTAAATGAATTCCACAAAATTAACGATTAAAATGTTTATTGATAAAATTACCCTCCACTATAAACTCAACAATTTTGACTTTTTTTTTCCTTTCTATTTATTTTCTTTGGAAAATTCTAAATTATAACAACCTTATTTATTTTCTTTGGAAAATTCTAAATTATAACAACCTTATTTTTTTCCTAATCCAATAATGACGCTAGTTTATATTTTTATTTTTTTCTTTTTGTTTTTTTTTTTGAAAATTCCAAACCAATATTTTTTTATTTTTTAAAGTCTAGTAATAACGTTAGTTATTATTACTATGAAACTATAAAAACTTTAACAATTGTTTTCAAATTCAATTAAAAACAATAGTAACATTCTTAATTTTTTCTTTTAGTTTTCAAATTAATTACTTAAATCAATAAAATTTTTTACATCAATTAGAAATAATTATTATGATAAATATTACTGCTTATATAATCAATTAATTAGCATGAAATATTAGTGTACTTATTTATATGAAATTTATTATTTAGATTTTAATAAAAAACATGACAAGTTATTATATTGTACATATTAAATATAATTGACGTTTGTTATTTATTTTTATTAAATTATTATGTCAAAGGTGTTATAAGAAATAAAGACAAATGAATTTTCATTTAAAAATTTATTCCAAACATAATTTTATGAAAATTCAATTGAATTTCTTTATTTTTAAATTGTAGTATACCAAACATTAAAACAAATTCATTTGCATATGAAATTTCTACTTGAAAATTCATTTACAAATGAAATTCTTACAACCATAATTTATTTGTTCCAAACGGGCTGTAAGGGTTTGAATTTCTTATTTTAAATTGTAGTATACCAAACATAACAAATTCATTTGCATATGAATTCTACTTGAAATTCATTTACAAATGAATTCTACAACCATAATTTATTTGTTCCAAACGGGCTGTAAGGGTTTATTTGAGAGGTTAGAACATTTCCTTTACATAATCTTTTTTTTTTATTAACTAATTAACTTATTTATTTATTTTAAATTTGCAACTTAGAACAATAGAGAAATAAAATACTTGAATAAACTCATCAATTGACCAATATTGGATCGTAGCATGATTTTCGTTGAAATTTATTTATTGACTTGGCTTTATTTTTTTTCATCAACAATAAATTTCATTAAATTATGCGCCAGTTGAAGAAGGGATTGATTTTTAAAATTAAAATTGGTAATTTTTTAATATAATTTGTTTCTTATTATATGTTGAGTTCTGAAAAGAGTTTTATTCTTAATAATAATTTTTTTTTTATTTTCTTTTTCATTACTGAATTAATTTTTAGTTATTATCACTTTAATTTAGCAAGAGATTAATATTCCCCTTGAAATAAATAGAAAACCTCTTAATGATTAAGCATTTTTAATATTTTAAATATTTTTTTCTCTTATATTCTAAATCTGTTTGACTTGAAAAAAATAGTATTTATGAAATTGGAAAAAAACTAAAACTATATATTTCTGTTTTGGGTCACTTTTGGAGTTTCAGAAATTTATATGTATATGTATATATTCTTTTCTTTAAGTGCGGAAAAGTAATATTGTCACCATAGTCAAAGTGATTATTATTATTATTTCAGATAATTTTCTCATTTTTTTTACCTAGCAGTAAAAAAAAAATTTATTATCATTTTCATTATATTTGTATAAAAATATTGATTTTGGGTTGAAGGTAAGGGTCGTAGATTTTGTGATAACTTGATTTTCTTTTTGGGTGCCTATTAAGATTTTAAGAATTTGTATTTATAAATTAAGGACTAAACGATTAGGTTTAGAGATGGGGTTGAAGTTTATTTTGAGACTATTTTCATTATATAAAAATAAATTAAGTACATAAGAAATAGCATTACAAGTAACTTGTACGATAAAGTCTCATACAAATTAACTAATTATATTTGTTTTAATCTAAATAAAAACTTATGCTTTCACATTATAGATTAAAAAAATTAAAAGAGCGTAAAAGATGAGTATATAACGAATATAATCAACATGCAACGCATGTCATAAAAAAGATTAGTAAATATAAATGTTAAATTATTAAATTAGTAAGTATAAATCTGTTTGCACTGTAAAACAATTACACTGACTAACAGCTTGAGCGTGTCAGATGTTAAGTTTACTAACTACAGAGTAAATTGCGCCACCCGAATTTCATAATGAAAAGACTGAAGGTTTTGACTCCACGATAACACTTCACCAACTGCTGAAAATTAATTTGATAGTGCTTAAAAATAAATGCTGTAAAAGCTTTGTAAAATAAAGAGATTGCTTGAAATTAAAATACTGTATTAACAAAAACCGGAATTGTAGAAAACAAATTGAGAATACTTAGAAAAGGAAATTACAATGAATATAAATGAAATTGAAATTGCTATTTGATTGAGAAATTGTAATTGAGTTTGATTTTTTGGAGTTGATTGTTGAGGCTTCGTTATGTGTTTCAGCTTGGCTTTTATAGGCACCTGTTGCTTAACGCTTTTATGCACACGACATCTTAACTGCCCAAATAACTTCTCCATATTGTGCGCGAGCAATTACTAGATCTCTTCTGTTAACCGCCTCCTGTTAACTCCAAAAATGTTTACTCAGCTATTAATTAATTAATTATGGGATTCTAATAGTTTAAAGCCCAATTAATTAATTAAAGTACAAATAAATCATAAAATCATAATTCAAATCTATAACACTCAGATAATTAAAATCTGGTGTAAACAAAATCATACTTATACAAGTCCTTAATTGGTTTAATTAATATGGGAACATAAATTAATAATTATTTTATATCTCTTACTTATAAAAATTTTCAAGAATGATTATACTATAAAAAAATTAAAAGATCAAAAGATAGTCAGATTTTTAGTTCAAATAATTAGTTTTAAATTTAATTGAAATTACTCCTCAGTTTAAAATATTATTATATTCTAAGTATATTATAAATAAACAAATGAAATTACAAGCAAAATTAACGAGTACAAACAGTACGCAATGCATATTAAAAAAAAGCACTAATGTAGCTCAAATAACCGATTTTAAAATTTCAAAAACTGTTCCTATTAAATTCTAAAATTTGAATTAATAATATCTTTTTATTGTATAAATAGAATTTTATAAGAATAATAAAACAAGAAAAACCAAACCGCTAACCAAGGCGATCGAACCAAGCATAAACCATTGGAACCCGTTAAAATCTAGAAGTTTCCATTTGAATTGAACCGAACCAATGAATTAAGCCCAACCAGATATAGACCAATTAAAACAGGAGAGAGAACAGCCAAAACGGGAACACAGCCCAAAACTTCTTTCCCGATCGTAGGACCGGCGATCTCCTTTCCTATCCACTCCCTGATCACTGTTTCGGCCGCCGGTTGTGGAGGCCAAGGCGGCGATCGACGCTCCGAGCGACGGCGATCTTGACTCCGGCCGTCCCTTCAACGATCGAAGGCTGCTCCACGCGAAACAAGGCTCTCTCCTGCGACGCCGCTACCTTCTATCGATAGTTCTCTCTTTCTCGACTTTCTGGCGAGCTCAAGGATTTCCAGCAATTCTCTTTACTCAGGTTGGTCGAAAATCGACCCTCAATGCTTTTGATTAACTTATTCTCGATTCATTTGGTCATTGAATGAAGATTGAGGGCGTTTAGAATTTAGGTTTCAGTTTGAATTTAGGATTTTGATAAATTAGGCATTGGATGGTGCAACTGATTTGGGAATTGAGTTCTACATGAAAAACTATGACTTATTTTTGAATCTTGAGGAATTCGGTAACCACCGCCCCCCGTCCGCCGCGGTGGCCCCGGTGAAATTATACATTAGGCAGAATGCTCCGTACTTGAAACATTGATTGATGCAATCAGACAAATAGGCCTTAAAGCCGAAAATCACAGAAATCGATAAAACAAGAGTTATAATGATTCTAGGAAAATGTTGTTAACTGTTGTAGTTTGGCCCTATAGATAATATTAAAAATTTTATTTGTAACAATCAATAATGGTGGTTTCATACATATTTTTCTTTTGTTTTAAACTTTTTTTTACTAACCGTGATGACATTAAAGTTTGGGACGTCAAATTTCACACTATGCTGAGTGCAGTCTTATATCTGAAATTCAGGACATTCCCCCGCTCAGGATAACAGCAGCTTCTTAAAGAACAGGCAAAGTCACGGCTGTGGCTGGGATACTATCTGCTCGTCTTTTTCGTATTTAAATTCAGTTTCCTCCAGATCATCTGGTTTAAAATTATTGAACTTTTGTTGCTGGTTAGTTATAATTAGGATATTCCTTTGTTTATATAATGGCTTCGGCTTCACGATTTCAAGCTGCTTCACTAGCAACTTCACCATTGTATCCAAATGCCATAGCTTGGTCTGATGAAAACCTTATCGCTGTTGCCTGCGGATCGCTTGTCACCATTCTGGTAATGCATTCGCTAGTTTCCTGCTTTTATTCTGTTTTTATTTATGTAATATGAAGTACTAACATAACTGAGGAAAGATTTGCTTTTTTTGGTCGTTTGATTTGAAACTCTAAAACACCTACTGTTAAGTTTAAGCTTTTAGATAAATAATGTTAAGGGTTGTAAATTTTGTTATATTTTTTAATTGTCAGAATCCTGCATTGCCTTCTGGACCTAGAGGCTTAATCACAATTCCAACTTGCGAACTTTATCCAATTGGGTTGGTAAAAAGAGAAGGTTAGGGCTACTATGATCTTTTATATTGCCGCTTTTTATTTCCTTTTATTCTTGCACTCTTATGTCATTGTTCATTGCAAAATTTGATTTGGTCTTATGGGGATAGTTTTGCAAATTATTTTATTTTATTCCCTTTGAAGCATAATTTGGACATGCTTTAAATTCTTATTTATTTATTTATTTATTTAGCCTAGGCAGTTATTGACCATTATTGTGATTTCGGACGTTTGCAGATTTTTTAACTGGATGTTTATTGCCCACTGCATTGTCTAAGGATTTTCGTCCAATTGTTCGTTCAGTTTCTTGGTCTCCAGTAGGAATGGCTCCAAACTCGGGGTATTATTCCAACCTTTTGTTGTCATTTTGGTTTTGTTAAATTAAGTAAATTTAAGGGCCTAAGAACAAGTTATAGTATCAAATTCGTCTTGTAATGTAATCAATGCCAGGTGCTTGCTCATAGTTTGCACTACAGAAGGACGTGTGAAGCTTTATCAACCGCCAATTAATGATTTTTCTGCTGAGTGGATAGAGGTATGCATCAGGGAAGGGCTTATTGATTGCACACTTTTCTGTTTAAAATTAAGAAACTGGTAGAATCATTGAAATCTAATAACCAACTTCACTTTTGAAATAAACTTTGTGCATTGATTGATGAAATTCATGGGCAAACTCTTTCTTAGCATCAAATAATTATAAATTCCTATTCTTCTAATCTTATGCAGGTTGTAGATATATCAGATAGTCTATATGATTATCTTGCAAATACCAATTTTGGAGAGTCAGGAACTCCAGACTCGGAGTTTGCTGACGTAAGTTCTTTTTGTGTTAGATCACAATTTAGTGTACTCTTGATTATCTAGGATTGAATTTATAATCTATTAACCATAATATCCTGACATTTTTGTGATTCTTTTCCTAGGAGCAAACAACACAATTGGGGTGTACTGATGACCATGCTAATATTTTTCCAAACTCTATTAAGCGAAGAAGAGCAAATGCGAGTAATGGCATGTAATATCTCATTCCTGTTTAAATTTTTGTTTGATTTCTTCTGATCTTTTTATCAGATTTATCTTTATTTTCTTAATTGTCTTTATTAAAGGTCCATTTGTTGGAGTGTGGTGCATGCTTTCCAAAAGTAAAGGAATGCTGCAAGAGAACTATCCAAGGAATGGTTTCTCTTATCATACTGTTCATTCCATTATACTGCATGTGCATCACTCCAACAACAATGCTAAATGGGGTTTCAATTAATGTGAATTTTCTTCCATTGTGCTGGATTTTCCACTATTATAAATAAACTAATTTCCATTCTATGGTTCATAAACTACATAAATAAAGCATGATGTGCATTTTAGAACCTGTCTTGCATCCCAGAAATATTCTCTTCAAAATGGGTGAAATTTGGAGAAGAGATTTCTATATAACAATAACATCATCAACTTAATCTCAAACTAGTTTGGATTTGCTATCTGAATCATTTGCTTTTCTATAATTTAACATATTTAGAGAGAAAGTTGGATCCCTGGAAGAAAATGCAATAAAACTCTCCTTTCTTTGCCACCTTTTCTCTTCTGTCTTGCCATAGGACCCACTTGAAGAAAACTTTTCTTCTGCCCCGATCTTCTCTTTGATAGACTAGTGAACCAGCCATAGTTTATTCTTTAGATTTGACCTGGAACTGGAAAATCATGGGAATACTGTCATTCTAGAATATTTTCTCATTAACTCAATATTGCTTTCCTAATCTAATCTTATTTGTTCCTTAAATGACTATGTTGCAGCACTAAGGAGTCTAAAACTCTTGGAGGTGAAATAATCGGTCTTAAAGATGGTGAGAAGTCCCGTGCTCGATCAAGCCCTCAAACTGATATGAGGGAAGAGCAGTTGCCTAAGGTATGCTTTCTGGACTAAAGATATTTTTGCATATTATCTTCCTGTCCACCCCCCCTTTTTTAGTTTTTTTTTTCTTTCTTTTAGGATTTTATAACATATAAATTGTTTGACGTTGGACATCAAGCACTTGATTGATTTGAGATTTAGATTAGATGGTAGGATGAACCGAATGAGGCAGATTTTATTTGCTCAAGAATTTCCTTTTTTTTTTTTTTTTTTCAATTGTATAAAAGTTATGTAAATTAAATAGAATTATTAGCCTAATGGCTCATTCCTATCAAGAAAGACTTGCCCCTTTTTTAGTTTGAAACTTGGAATCTATGAAAAACTCAGAGAAAGGAAATAGTTGCTGGAACTTCATTCATCCAATGATTTATTCTGTGAAATTGAAATATTACATTGTTTACACAGATACTGATAATACTAATTGTAATTGAAAGAGACTTGGACTTGCGTATAAAAATAACTCTTTTGTTTGGCTGCTAGATTGACCAGGAATGTATTAAAGCTTAAACATAAATAGATAGCTGCAGTTCTATGCGGGTTTTTTTTTTTTTTTTAGCATATAATGCTGCTAGGTGGCTTGTGAGCTTGCCATTCATCTTTAAATGATCATTAAATTCCTTGAGTATTTTCTTCTGACTTTGATTTTCAGGTTATTGAGATTAATCGTGACAAGAGGAAAAAAATTACACTTGAAAAATGTTCACTACCGCAGATAACTGCCAACCAATATGCTTCTCGCAGAAAATTGTTGTCATCACTTGTTGTTGCCTGGTCACCAATGTTGTGCCTTCCATCTAAAATCTGTTCAGTTCATCAAAATGGCTCCTCCCACAGATTTTCTGTACTTGCAGCTGGAGGAAAGTCTGGTAAAATTTCAATCTGGAGAATTTATGCACCACAACAGTACTCTATTGAGCGCAGTAGTGTTTCTCGTGGTGTGATGCTTGTCGGGCTTCTACAGGCACATAATTCGTGGGTCACTGCAATCAGTTTGGCATTACATGGTTCTGATTCTAATCCTCAGCTTTTATTGGCTAGTGGGAGTTCTGATGGGAGGTGAGTTAGGTACTGCCAGAATTTCTATCGACTTAATAACTGCTTATCCATGATATGATGATTATTTTTGAATAAGCATAAGAGCGGGTCTCATTTGGTGTACTTTGGTATGCTGTAAATGGTGTTAAGTAGAATATTTGTTTCTTCTGTTTAATTCTATATCTTCTAGGTTGATATTTTTGGAGAATCTAGAGTAGCTTATAGTGTTGATATTTTTGAAGCAGCTAGAGTAACATTTAGTTTTACGGCAATGTTGATTTGATCTTCAAATACTTGTTCTTGGGTGTTCAAATAGAATTAATTCTCGGAAGGTAGCCAATTATTAAATTTATGTGCAATTTAGCATATCTTTCTGTGGACACCATAGAATTCATTCAGAAGCATGTATAAATTCCTTGTACTTGGTAGTAGAATTACAAGACTTACTGTAACTGGTATTTTTAGATGTTGAGTAGATGCATAAGAAGTGTTAATCATATTATTTCCCATTTTCTTCATTGTCTTCTTCTTAGTGTGAAGATTTGGTTGAGGAGTTGCGAGGAATTGCTGGAGTCATCAGAATCAAATAATGCTCCTTTTTTTCTGCTGAAGGAGGTTCCTCCAATTATATTCTTAATGATTTCAATATACATGTTTTATGTTTTTCATTAATTGCATTCTGACATTTAATTCCCCAAAATAGGTTATTTCTGCCAATGCTGTCCCAATTTCAGTAATTTCAATAGTAATACCTGTTCGGGAAATGCCCAATATGCTCTTAGCGGTTGGCAAATTATCTGGTTCGCTTGAAGTATGGACATCTGATTTATCTAGTTGCAAATTTGATAAAGCTGGTTCACATGATGCTCATGACCGGGCTGTAAGTATCTAATTGTTGATCAGTCTTATATAGCATCTCAATGATAATTTATATGTTTAAAAATTAATCAGGTTACAGGTTTAGCTTGGGCATTCGATGGGTATTGTTTGTACAGTTGCAGCCAGGTATTAAATTTAATGATATTCAGCTACATGACTTTAATTATCCTCTGTTTAATTCAGTTTTCCATATGTGATACTTTATTATGTGCATTAAATTCATTGTTATGCTCAACTATGGTCTAGGTTTCATCAGGTTATATTTTGGACGTTCTTTGGTACTTCGATTCCTAGCCCATAAATAGTTATATTTGTGCTTATTTATGTCTAGTAAAACTATTTAATATGCAAATTTCCAGATCCAAGTAGATTGACTTGAGCTTTCGTAGCTACTTTGGTCCTTAAAAAAATCAATTCATGTAATGCTATATTTTTAAAGATAGAATCACTTGATAATTTTAGCAATTGTTGCCACTTTTATTGTCTGATGCAATTCAATCAAAATTTATGGATCCTTGGGTGTCCCAACAAAGTGCAGGTCTGAAGCCTAAATCCTTCTTTTTTTTTTTTTCATGTCATTGTTTGTTGTCCAAGGTGTCAGGCCTAAACTCCTAACAACCTCCAAAATCTTTCTTTGCTTGTGCTGTTTTACTTCCTACTTCCTAGTCATACTCAGCACACACCCTAATTGTATTATCTATATGAGCTTTTTAGAGTCTTTCTAATTTCAAACCTACACAAAACCGGATTCTGAATAGCCTAACCTCTGAGTGTCGTTGTTGCAGAAGATATTTATGTACTATTTTTTTATTTATTTTATAAATGACAGTATGCTTTGACTTGTTTTTATATATTACAGAGCATAATCCATCAGTTGCATGTGATATTGCACTATGAATTGATTGTATACCATTTTTAACTTGAAAATGTGCTAGGATAATTATGTTCGTTGCTGGCAATTCCATGAGAGTTCTTTTTGTGAAGTAACCATTACTTCAAGTACATTGGGTCTGAGGAGCTCGACTGATGTATGACAATAACCTATTTTTCTGGCCTTTTTTTTTCTTTTGTTTTAACAATCTATTCTGGCTCAAGAAGATGTTAAAATTTCTCTGCAGCTTCCAGATGTATTCCTTTCATGCCTTGGTGTTGCAGTATCTCCTGGAAACCTTGTTGTTGCTATGGTAGATTACTTTTGTTTCTCTAGACATCTCATTCTCATCAGCTTAATTTTTAATTCCTCTACATTTACGTTTTGTTTTAATCTTTTACCCAATTGGCTGCCCTTGTTCTTAAATTTCTAGTAATTATGTTCATGGGATACATGTTAGCTGCATTGTTTTACATCAAGGCCTCTTGTAATTGCTATATTTACAAACATTATGGTTAATAGTGATAAATATGACGAATCAATGCAGTTAGTTAGCCCTCTTCATATCTGATGCATTATTAACCAATTCATGCCAGTTGTGAGATGCCATAAGAGTGTGGAGGTATATATTCAACTGCAGTTAGGATAATTTGATGTTTTATCATCAGAATAGCTGTCATCTTTACAAGAATAAAATTCCCATTTCCTTTGAGTTGCACTGTGCATTTGAATTCATAAATTGCCATCAATGGAGTTAAGAGTATAAAATTCTGGTTGCATTTCTAACTTTCGAAGGGAATGTTCATTACTTGTTAACAGTGTAATTAGATTGGAAAGTGCATTTGTCAATATTTCTTTGGCTCACCTTGAAATTTCTTTTCCTGATTTGCAATCTCTCTCTTTTTTAGTCTTTTAAGACAGAATTCATATCTATCAATTTAGCTGCACAGTGTGAGCATGGGCTACATTGATCATCTCTAATACATTGTTGCTGTTACCAATAACTATGGGATAATGCATAGGGATGCTGAAGCAAATAATTGGCCCTTGGTTATGCTGTGCAATTCACCACTAGCACTTTAAACTTTTTTTTTTCTGTTAGATAATTTCTTTTCATTTAATTTTTTAATATGATGATCACGATCGTGATCACAGTGAAAGATTGTGATTTGCTAGCAAAGCTATAAGGATGATGGTAATGCTATTGTACTTTACATATAATGGAATCAGTGCTGAAAGAATTCTGCTCACCTTATGCAGGTTCGTAATCTTGATGTTGATCAATTGGATCACATGTATGAGGCAAGGTGAGTTCATTTATCTTGCTAAACTTTAAAATGCTTTATCAATTCAGAAATGGTTCAACGCTTATAACATGATGAATATAAGAGCAGGAAGAGACAATGGTAAAGAATACTGCACAACTGAATCCAATTGAACAAAGTGGTAATCGTGGGTCCAACTACAAGGAACTGAATAATTTTGAACTAAATTAATATAAAAAGAATCAGAAAAACCAAAATTTTCAAAATCCAAAAATATTGATTTTTATTAACCAAGCGGTCACGTATATTGATTTTGAACTGTCTCCATGATCATACTTGTGGCTGTGGCTGCAGTGTCATATAATGGGTTGTTATAGATGTTTTATGTAGGTCACAGCCAGTTTAGATGGATTGTTCTTTTCTTTTTTTTTTTTTTTTGGCTGATGAATTGTGCATAAGGTATAAATTCGCTGAAATTAGACTCAAATTCCTAATAAGGATAATTATGTCTTGTTTTGAAATAGAAACCTTTCTTTTTTCCTTCACTTGCTATTGTGATCATACCCTTTTTTAGGCATTTACATATGGATGTTATGAAACATGTACTGCTCTTTATTTAATGGGGTTTAGGAGACTGATGTGATATTTAGTGTTTGATTTCTGTGATATTTTAGGATACTGAATGACAGAAATGGCTCTATGTTACCTTGTAATAACTGTAATAGGAACTTTAACAGAAAGGTTTTGGTTTTAGTTAGGCCTAGCAAGGTTCCAAAACTGGAACCGAAGCAGCGGTAGGGAACCTGAATGTATATGGTAAGGTTCAGTTCTGGTAAGAACCTACCAGAATCTCGAAATGTTTTCCAATCTGTCTTCATGACCGGTTGCCGCAGGTTCTGATTGGAAATTTTTTATTCTTTAAATAAAAATTATTAATTTTTTTAAAATTATTTAAAGTTTTCAATGAATTCATTAAGAACTATAAAATTTTCAATTTGGCAATGTCAACAAATTAATGATGAGAATAAAATTAATTAAAATAAATTAAAAATGACCTTAATTTTTTTTTTTTTATAAAAATGAATAATAATTAGTTGTGATATTGCATTTATTATTTTTGTTGTGATATTGCATATTTATTTTTGTTGTGATATTGCCTATTTATTTTGTTCAAATGGAAAAACAATTAAATTAAGTAATCGGAAATCTATTTAATTTATTATCTGGCTTTGGTTTAAATGTGGAAAAAATATTTTCTTGAATAGGAAATTTGCGAACTTCAGTTTTGATTAAATTTCTAAATATAATTTGTTGTATGTAATAAATGTTTTTCAAATTTATGGAATACAATTTTTATAAAAAGAGTGAATAATAGGTATTCCATTCTGTAGAACAGCTATTTTTATTCTTTGTTATTTCCTCTGTGAACCGAACAAAGTCTAAGTTTTTTTAATATAAGATTTACATTTTTTTTGTAATTTTTCACATATGGGTTTAATAGCCAATTTAAGAATTCTTATTCCTACCACATCAAATTTGACTAGGTAATAATATACGCTTTCAATAAATTTTAATTTTGGTATTGGAAATATTAATATTATTGTTTATATTTCAATTAAATTCTTGTCAAACCCTGAATTTAAGTTTTTGCTTTTTCTTTTTTTTTTTTTTTAAAGAAAAAAGAAAGTTACAATTTAATTTAGTCCAATTTTGTGGTACCATGATTTGGAGGGTAAAGTGTGCCCATTCTTACATGCTTTAGCTTAAAACCTTCTTGAATCTGCGTGCTCTATTTAGAAACTTAATATTATTGGATTGGAAACATGCAGGGTACAAAAGGCTGTGGTTGAGTTCTTCTGGATTGGTGGCCAACAATTGGATATGTTGCCCAACATTTCTATAGACTTTGTTACTGAATCTTTCCTTGATTATCCTGCAAGTGAATTGGTTTGTTGGGAGTCAAACATTCTGTGGTCTCTAAAAAAATTTGAAAATCTGGAAAAGCTACTAGTTATCTGGGATATCATAGCATCATTATTGGCTTTCAAGAAATCTGTGCCAGAGTTTGTCGACCATGTACTGGCGAGTTGGCTTTCTGTGACATATTTTGGGTCCCATATGAATCTCTCTATTAATGAGGTGTTGACACGCATCCCTGATGACTTCTCAAAAATAACCTCTCGCCGATTGCAAATTCTCAATGTCATCTGTCGATGCTTAGTAATACCTGGGTTTAAGGCTGATGAAATTGACATTAAAGCAAATTTTAAGGGACCAACCAGCGATATGGATAAAGCTACTGAAATTGATCAACAAACGCTGTGGATAAAGCTACTTCACAGGAGTGAAAAAGAACTCCAGGAAAGGCTTGTGGCTTTTAGTCTTTCTGCATTTTTAGCCAAAACTGTTTCCCAGACTGGATACTGGCATCCTTTTGGAGTTCCACAAATGGAGCAGTGGGTTGAGCTTAATCATGATCATGTCAGGGGTCAATTAAAAGTCCTTTTGTCAGAAGTGCAAAAGAACAAAAGAAGGTACCTCTTGCTACTCTGTTATTTATGATGCAAATATGTTGCAACATTTAGTTCCATCACGACAACCTTGACTTTTTAGGACTTAGAATTGAAAATGTTTAAGGAATAAGTTTAAATTTGCCTTGCAACTTCTCTTGTTTTCAGATAGTTCAAACAACAACCCACACACACTCGTGGAGAAATTAGGAGGTACCTTGTGGTTTTGAATTTTTTCACTTAAAAGAGTATGTGATTGGCAAAAGGGTTTGTGTTTCATTCTGTCAAAGCTTAGTTCTAGTGTCTTAACATTGTTAGTCTGTTTTGATGTGGCACTACATTAATGGTGCCATACGGCAATTAAGGATTTTGAATGTTAGTGTCACGTCAACATAGACAAATGACATTAAGGTGCTAGACCCTTAATTGTTAACAAAATGAAACACAAAATCAAATTTTGATGTCACAGTTCTTGAAGTGAAGAAACGCGAAAACAAGGGTACTTTTTCCAATAAAAAATAAAAAAGAGAGAAATCAACTAAATTTTGATTTTCCTTGAAGAGAGGCAAAGAGGAGTCATTGCATCAAATGGATAGAAAAAAAGGCTTAAATTACATCATTCCTTTTGTTTCTTTTCTCAATTGTTTTTACAACTTCAACACATAATTGAAAAAAAAAAAAAAAGGAAAAAAAAAATGATATCTTTTAGCCAACTTAAATCTTGTGGCTAGCTGTTGGAGTTAACCTTTTCATTGTTGGAAAGTCATTTGCAAAAATTTGCTTTTGTTTTGTGCAAATAACACTTTTGATCTTATCCGAATATTCTGGTGAAAACAGGCTTTCATCCAATGAATATAGAGTAGAAGAACAATGTGGCTATTGCTCAGCATCAGTTCGGTTTAATTCTCCAGAAATTGCATTTTGCCAAGGTTTGGAAGGCAATAACAGAGATGTGCAGAAACACAAATTAGTAAGATGTGCTGTTTCTATGCGAGTTTGCCCAGCTACACCATTATGGTTTTGCAAGTGTTGCAATAGACGAGCTTCGACATTGGCACCGCAGACTCTTTTTACAATGTCTGAATACCCTCTAGATTATAAATCTTTGATAGAATCTCATGCTGCAGTAGAATTGTTAAGACCCTTGTGTCCCTTTTGTGGGATACTGCTCCAAAGATTACAACCGGACTTTCTACTTTCTGTATCACCAGTATAGGTTTCACTTTTATTTATTTATTTATTTTGAGTAGAATAGGCTTCACTTTTTGTCTTAGATGACTAGTTCACCGTAATATTATTAGGGTTAGAAGCAAGTTATAGAATGTACATTCTGATTAAGCCATTTTATTTGTGGTGTGAGGTGTTGGAAATGCTTAGGTATGACATGATGGGATTGTTTTTATAGTATAAGCAAAACGCAAAGTAGGCATGACCCCGATCTGATTTCAAACCGGAACCGAATTGAAACTGAACCAATTAAAATCGGTCTTAAATCGTGGTTAATGGTTCTTGGTTCCTGATTTCAAACGGTAACTGAAATTGGGTACTTAAGGTTCTGTGTCTAAAATTGTTCGTAATCAAAATCTTGTACTTGAGGATTGGTTTCGGTTTTTTATTTTTTGAAATTGATGGTTTTGTTTTGAAATTGTGAAAACTATGTTTTTAAAGGAACTTTTAATTTGTGTTTTGGTTTTATTATAATTTTTAAAGTAATTTTTAAAATTTTTATTAAATTGGTTTAATTTTTTTGTTAAGGGAAAATAATTATTTTATACTTAAAATTTGCCATAATTATCAAAGTAAGCTTATTTTTTGTAAAGGTATTTGTCATATACTGAGGTTTGCATCTATCATTCTACTTGGTTCTGCTAAAAAAACACATTTTTTTCCGTTAATCTTAAAGTAAAAAGACAAACTTAACCTTTATAAAAAAAATTTTATCATTCCTGTTATCTCTCTTCTCTCTGAAGTACCTAGAACTCAAACTCTCTCCACCTCCCTCAACCAACGCCGCTCTCTGCAGACGCAAACCATCACCATCACCATGTCACCGTCAAATTTCGTCTCCATCTCCAAACCACCACCAAAGTTAAAAACTGATACCCAAACCCAATTCATCCATCATCAACCTTCACCAATATCTCTCTCCTTCAATCTTCATTTACCATGTCTCTTAAAATCCCTAAAACGAAATTTCTACCTTCTACCAATGATTCGTCATGCTATATTTTTCAATCCTCCCAAAAATGAAACTGCGATTCTAGAATAGTGGTGATGCATAACTCAAAGGTTCTTTGTTTTTTTTGTTTTTCTAGTCAAAAAAAACTTTTTGGTTAGGCCTTCTAAGGATATTTTTTGGGGGTAAATTCTTATTTGCTTCTTGATATTTTAATACAAATGGAAATTAATTATTTCTTCCTGAGGTATGCAAAATTATCTTAGTAATCCTGTAATTTGATCAAATATTTAAAGCGTCGTGAATTTCGTCTCCGTTAAACTATACAGTCCCTTCGTCCATTCTTAGCTACTTTTGCCGTTAAAACACAAGAGAATATAAGAGAGACGTGAGAGGGGTCTTTTAAAATGACATAAAAACATAAAAATGCAGGGATTGAAGCCATGAAGCCTGAGTGCAAGACAAAACCTGGAAACAAAAGCAGAGGATCTCAAATCTGTGTAAGTTTGCCACCATTGCCAGACGTGCATAAAGACCTTCACCCCATTGCAACCAAGTCGTCTCCACAGCTCTTGCAACCCCAATCCCCAGTCCACCTGCCAATTTAATATAGTTGAACACTGTACAATATCCTTTGAATCTTTGTTCTTTTAAACAAAATGACTAAGAATAACAGCATCAGTAATAGCAATACCCATAAGGAGCATTGGCGGTGAATTTGAAGTCCCCGGTGAATTCGATGTCGCCAGTGTGTAGCAGAAGGAGCAGCGACGACTTTGGGTACGGGCTATCTTGCATCCTCCAAAGCTGCCTTCTTTAAAAAACTCAGAATCCAACAACTATAATCTGCAAAATTGCAGCAATATCCGTAAACACCAATCCTATCTCCTTCCCTGTGTTCATGTCATCATCTTTTTGCATTGGTGATGGCGGTGCTGGATGCCTTTTTGAGGCGCTTATGCGCATGGCATGCCTTACTAGCGGCAGTGAGGACTACTTACTGAAGGTGATTGATAGAGGTGGAATTGAAGGTAAAGACCGAGACTGAGACTGAGACCTAGGTGGAGGTGGAGATGGAGGCAGAGGAGATGATGGGGGAGGAGTTACAGATTCTAGGGACTTTGAAGATGGTGATGGTGAAGGCAACGATGGAGAGGGAATGAAGGTTTGTGGCTTTCATATTGCCCAGGGGTGTTTTTGTCTTTTTTCTATGATTTAATGGAAACAATTTTCAAAATTGAATAGAGGGACTAGTTAGATGGACGGAAATAAACGTGAGTGACGCGCTGAATATTTATCTAAAATTAATGGACTATTTAGATAATTTCGTCATATCTCAGAAATTAAATAATTAATTTTCCTCATATAAATGCATTGGTTAGTATAAATGAATTCAAAATGCAGAATATATTTATAAATGAATTCTAACTAGAATCTAGTAGCAAATAGTTTTTTCATATTTGATTTATTATAGCTTAAAATATAGGCTTAATGATTAAAAAAAAAATTGAATTTTGGTATTTTTAACCATTTTGGTCAATTCTTTTAATTGCTACAATTGATACTGCGAAGTAATTTTTTCTTAACAATTTAGCCTCCGTCCATCAACCGTTACTATTATGCTGATATTGCTGTTAGTGGAACTCTCACCGTGATATATCATTTGCTAGCTATAAATTGGTAAGATATAATTGTTAAAAGAATTGGCCAAAAATACTTAAAAAAGCCAAATTTCAGGGTTTTTTTAGGCCAAAGTTTATTAGTTTATTAATTTTAATCAAGATTATTACATGCATACCAAGACATACAGAGTGGTAAGTGCATATACAAATTGGCAATAGTTTCAAATTTTTTTTATTAAAATTAATTTCTAATATTTATATAATTTATTTATCAATAAATAATTTTATAACTTGTGCGAACGTAATTTTTTTCTTAACAATTTTAGCCTCCCGTCCCATCATACCGTTACTATTATGGCCTGATATTGCTGTTAGTGGAACTCTCCACGTGATATAATCATTTGCTAGCTATAAATTGGTAAGATATAATTGTTAAAAGAATTGGCCCAAAAAATACTTAAAAAAAGGCCAAATTTCAGGGTTTTTTTAAGGCCAAAGTTTATTAGTTTATTAATTTTAAATCAAAATTATTAACATGCATACCAAGACATACAGAGTGGTAAGGTGCAATATAACAAAATTGGCAATAGTTTTCAAATTTTTTTTTAATTAAAAATTAATTTCTAATATTTTATATATTTATTTATGCAATAATAATTTTATAACTTGCATATTCAAAATTAAATTTTGGATTAATAATATTTTTTTATTTTAAAGAAATATTATAATAATTAATGACAAAACCATAAATTTTGATTATAATATTTTTTATTTTAAATGATATATTATAATAATTAATGACAAACAACCAATATTATGCTAAAAAAATTTATTTCATTTTAATAAGAATTAATTAAAAATAATAATTATATGACACAAAATAAATGAAGAAAAAAATTTGAAAAGGAAATTACAACTTGAAAATTCGAAAGGTGCTAAAGAGGTGATAAACATTATAATTAAAATATAATAAATTTCAATAACGAAGATTAAAAAAATTTACATTCATGTATAAATTTCTCAAGAAAGATTAATGTAAAAGTATTTGATGCTGATCCTTCTAAAGAAAAGAACAAGTTTAAGTAAGGTAATACTGCCACTTTTGAAATTAAAGGGATTTACAACACTTGATTTTCTCCCTCTTACTTCGTTGATAATTTTATTGAATTTTTAGATCTTCTTTAATATTTAATTATTATAATATGAGTGTTGACAATTTCAAATAACTAAAAAAACTCACAATTTTTTTCCTGAAATTGAATAAAAAGAACCTAAATTTTGGCATTTTTAACAATTTTGGCCAATTCTTTTAACTATAATACCTTGAAAATTTACAATTAGCAAGTGATATATTATGGTAAGAGTCCCGCTAATGGCCACATCAACATAAAAGTAACGGTTAATGGATGTACGCCACAATTGTTAAGAAAAAATTATTTCGCGGTATCAATTTTAGCAATTAAAAGAATTGGCCAAAATTGTTAAAAAGGCGAAAGTTCAGATTTTTCTTAATCATTAGGCCTAAAATATATAATGAGAACTTATCTAAGTGATTTAAGTCACCCATTTAGGGTGACCATAGCTTTGGAACCACCGGTTTCAATTCTAAAATTAACATTTTCAATTCCAAAAGATGTAGATCCGGAATCTAATCGAAAAAACTGACAGTTTCAGTTTTGGTCTGGAACCGACCAGTTATGGTTCTGATTCTGGTTCCTTAACATTTCTAGTTCTTACAGTTTGAGATGGTTCTCTACCTGGTTTGCATAATTTAAAAATTTAAAAATTAGAGGACATTTTTGGTTCAAAATTTAAATTTTAAACATTTATGATATGAAATGATTTTCAATTTAGATTTCCCTCGAAATCGAATTGACTGGGAGTGAAGTCAAACATGTCGTTCATATGCATAGATGAGATTACATTTTGTGTTCCTCCAACTTTTCTCTTGCTCTTCATGGAACTTAAACTTTCTCCATTAGCGATTATAGAATAATAACATGCAAATTGAAAAAATTGAGTATAAAAAATTGGAGAGAATAATTAATTATTGAAGAGATTATTTGAAAATGATTTCGACAATATTAAAGAGAATAATTAGATATTGGAGAGGTCATTTGAGATCAATTTAGAAAATAATTATAAATTGAAGAACTTGAAGAGATTGGAGAGTAGAGAGAAATAATTGATGTGTGAATGAATAAAAATAATGGGTATTTATGGTAAATCAAAAATTTAACTTCAACGAACACTCTTAAAACTAGCCGTTTATAGTTGTTAGAAATGTCAATTTGAGATTTTCAATAAAAATTCTTAAAAAAAAGATTTGTCAAAATTTTAATTGATTCAATAAAACTTTTAGAATTTTCATCAAATTACAGATTCCAATCTGTTTCGACTGGTTCTCCAAACCACCGATTTATAATTCTAAAATAATTAGAACCATAACTGTACTGCAATTTTCCAGTTTTGGTTTCGAATCTTGACGGTTCCGGATCCAAGAATTGAAAAATAGCCACGTCTACACCTATTTATAGTTATCATGAAAATAGTTGTTAAAGATGTATTAAATATAGTTATCAGGTTAAGCAACCCCAAATGC